GTTTATAGTCGATCATTGACAGGGGCGAAAGAGATCAAGAAAGAAAGGAAGATGAGAGAGAATGAAAAAGAAGAGAGCAATAGAGGAAGAGAAAGAAATGAGAGACAAGGAAAGAAAGACGGAAGGAAGGAAGGAAAGAAAGAAAGAAAGAAAGAAAGAAAGAAGAGAGAGAATGAAAAAGAAGAGAGCAATAGAAGAAGAGTAAGAAATAAGAGACAAGGATAGAAAGATGGAAGGAAAGAAAGAAAGAAAGAAAGAAAGAAAGAAAGAAAGAAAGAAAGAAGAGAGAGAGCAATAGAGGAAGAGAAAGAAATAAGAGACAAGGAAAGAAAGACGGAAGGAAAGAAAGAAAGAAAGAAAGAAAGGAGAGAGCAATAGAGGAAGAGAAAGAAATAAGAGACAAGGAAAGAAAGAAAGAAAGAAAGAAAGAAAGAAAGAAAGAAAGAAGAGAGAGAATGAAAAAGAAGAGAGCAATAGAGGAAGAGAAAGAAATAAGAGACAAGGAAAGAAAGATGAAAGGAAAGAAAGAAAGAAAGAAAGAAAGGAGAGAGTAATAGAGGAAGAGAAAGAAATAAGAGACAAGGAAAGAAAGAAAGAAAGAAAGAAAGAAAGAAAGAAAGAAAGGAGAGAGCAATAGAGGAAGAGAAAGAAATAAGAGACAAGGAAAGAAAGAAAGAAAGAAAGAAAGAAAGAAAGAAGAGAGAGAATGAAAAAGAAGAGAGCAATAGAGGAAGAGAAAGAAATAAGAGACAAGGAAAGAAAGACGGAAGGAAAGAAAGAAAGAAAGAAAGAAAGAAAGGAGAGAGCAATAGAGGAAGAGAAAGAAATAAGAGACAAGGAAAGAAAGACGGAAGGAAAGAAAGAAAGAAAGAAAGAAAGAAAGAAAGGAGAGAGCAATAGAGGAAGAGAAAGAAATAAGAGACAAGGAAAGAAAGAAAGAAAGAAAGAAAGAAAGAAAGAAGAGAGAGAATGAAAAAGAAGAGAGCAATAGAGGAAGAGTAAGAAATAAGAGACAAGGATAGAAAGATGGAAAGAAAGAAAGAAAGAAAGAAAGAAAGGAGAGAGCAATAGAGGAAGAGAAAGAAATAAGAGACAAGGAAAGAAAGAAAGAAAGAAGAGAGAGAATGAAAAAGAAGAGAGCAATAGAGGAAGAGAAAGAAATAAGAGACAAGGAAAGAAAGACGGAAAGAAAGACGGAAAGAAAGAAAGAAAGAAGAGAGAAAATGGAAAAGAAGAGAGCAATAGAGGAAGAGAAAGAAATAAGAGACAAGGAAAGAAAGACGGAAGGAAAGAAAGAAAGAAAGAAAGAAAGAAAGAAAAAGAGAGGGAAATGGAGGAAAATAGAGACGTAAGAAGCAGAGAAAGACAGAAAGATTCAGAGAAAGACAATGGAGAAAGAATGAAACATTATCTATAAAAACAGAGAGCGAAAGAAAGACGAAGGAGAATGAAAAAGAGAGAGAAAGAGGTAGAAACAATATACCAGCAAAAAAGAAAGATAAGAGAGAATGAAAAGAGAGAGAGAGAGGGGGGGGAAGAGTGAGGGACAATATATAAGCTATGAAAGAAACAAAGATCGAAAGAAAGATGAGAGAGAATGAAAAAGAGCGGAGCAGTGAGAAATAATATACAACCAAAGAAAGAAAGAAAGAAAGAAAAATGATAGAGAATGAAATGAGAGAGAGAGAGAGAGAGAGAGAGAGAGAGAAATAATATAAAGAAAAGAAAGTAATATAGAAAGATGAGAGAGAGGGAGAGAAAAGAAGAGCGAGAAACAATATACATGCAAAGAAAGAAAGCTAGAAATAAATAAATAAAAATGGAAAGAAAAATGAGAATGAAAAAAGAGAGGAAGAGTGAGGCATAAATGCATGCAAAGGAAAGAAAGAATGAAAAAGAGAGAGAATAAGAAGTTTAGAGGAAAATAACAGACAAATAGACGTAGAAATAAAGAAAGAAAGAAAGAAAGGAAAGAAAGAATAAGCAAAAAAGAGGAAAACTGAAACATTAAATACAGGGTGTCCATAAAGTTTGTGTGCACTTAAAAAAATTTATAACTTTATTTGTATTTGCGATAGAAATAATTTGTAAAGAGGATTAGAAAGAAGTAAATCTATATTTTTTAAGGTTATATTGAAATTTTATTTAAGTTTCCAAATCTCCTCAATCATTAGCAATACAAAGGGTAATACATTTTGCTGTTCACGGAAAACATTTGCCAACTGATTTACAGTAATGCCTGAAATCACATTAGTTATTTTAGCTATACTTAAAACTAGATACATTAAACTTTATAACATTTTTTACAGATTATTTCTGTCGTAAATACAAATAAAGTTATAAATTTTTTTAAGTGCACACGAACTTTATGGACACCCTGTACAAGCAGGAGAAGAAAAAGAGAATTAAATAATAGTGAGACGAAAGAAAGAAAAAAAAGGAAAAAAAGAGAGAATGAAGTAAAGAGAAAGAGAGGGAATTAGAAGAAATAAGATAGAGTAAGAAACAAGATGTAGACAGACAAAGAAAGAAAGAAAGAAAGAAAGATAGAAAGAAAGACTATTGGAAAAAAAGGGTGCTTAAGTCAGGAAAACAAGCAATAAAAAGCAAGTGTGAAGGGAAGGAAGGGAGAAAGAAAGAAAGAAAGAAAGAAAGAAGGAAAGACAAGAAAAAGAGTGTATTATTGAGACTCTTTTTCTATCTCTTGTTGACTTGTCCTTTTTTTTTTTTAAGCATTTACCCTAAGCAAGGCGGGAGTGCCACTAGTAAGCAAGAAGCTACAGAGAGTAAAAGTAAGACAAAGGACAGGGTATGGGGAGGACATTGAGGGAAGAATAAAAAGAAGAACGGGGGATCAAAGCATCAGAAGACGTCGATAGACATTACATTTAAATTTTTGAAGATTATAGCTATCAGGGAAGCAATTAAGAGGAAGGAAGTTCCACTGTCGAGAAGTGCGATAGAAGAAGCTGTTGGAGTAGAAGAGGCGGTTGTATTTAACCGTTTCGACAGTGAAAGTGTGGGACCGAAATGCCAACCTAGTAGCACGCTTAAATTGAGGCAGGCGGAGGGAACCAGTGAAAGAAGCTCGAGGGAGCAGTTGCTATGAAAATATTTATAGAAAAGACAGCGGAAAGCCACAAATACGTCGGTGAGAGAGTGACTGGAGTCGGGATGCCAGGTCAGGACTGATCACATTGCATATCTGTCTTTGGAATTTTTCGAGAACTTCGAGATGAACACCAGGTGGGGGGGCACTAGACCATATATGGCAACATTATCCTGTGCATTGGCGAATGGTAGATTTGTAGATTTGAAGGATGGACTCAGAAGAGAAAAAAAACCTTCTGGCGTGACACAGAGAATCAACTTTCCTTGCGATAGATTCAGCTATTGATTCGATGGAGTTAAAGGGCGATAGAAATTGATAATAAGTGAGAAATACAATAAAGAAGAAGAAGAAGAAGAAGGGCGAGAAAGAGTAAGAGAGAGAGAGAAAGAGAGAGAAAGAGAGAGAGAGGGCGTAAAAAAGAAAGCAAAAATAATCAGGTAAAAGAAAGAGAGAGAAAAACTGATTTTAAAGTGGAAAAGTACAAACGAAATTTATTATATACACGTTCATTCTTCCTCTTATAACAACTTACGATCACACTCAATAAAAAGAAGAACGGGGGGGGGGTCAATACATCAAATGATGTCGATTGATATTACATTTAAATTTTTGAAGATTATAGTTATCAAGGAAACAAGTAAGAGGAAGGGAGTTCCACAGTCAGGAAGTGTTAGAGAAGAGTGCTTTATTGAGACTCTTTTTTCTATCTCTTGTTTTCTTGTCCTTTTTTTTTTTAAGCATTCACCCCCAAGCAAGGCGAGAATGCCACAGGTACGCAGTGGGGTGGGGGTTACAGAGAGTGAAGGTGGAAGAAAAGACTTGGTAAGGAAAATCGACGAAAGTATAAAAGTTGAACGAGGTTCTAGAAGATACAAGATGGCGACTGACATTGTATTTTAATCTTAAAGAAAGGGTGCTTAAGAGAGGAAAGCAAGAAACAGAAAGAAATAGTGTGAAGGGAAGAAAGAAAGAAAGAAAGAAAGAAGGAAGGAAGGAAGAAAGAAAGAAAGAAGGAAGGAAGGAAGAAAGAAAGAAAGAAAGAAAGAAAGAAAGAAAGAAGGAAAATCAATACTGAAGAAAAAACAAGAAAAGAGATAGAAAAAGAGACTCTTTTTCTATCTCATGTGTTCTTGTCTTCTTTTTTTTTTACAAGCATTCACCCGAAGCAAGGCGGGAGTGTCACTAGTACGCCAGAGGCTACAAGAGAGTAAACGTAAGAGAAAGAACAGGGTACGGCGGGGGATTGAGGAAAGAATAAAAAGAAGAACGGGGATCATAAAGGTAGAAATAAATAAATAAATAAATAAAGAAAGAAAGAGAGAAAGAATAAGCAAAAGAGAGAAAGAGTGAGACATTAAATACAAGCAGGCGAAGAAAGAGAGAATGAAATAATAAATAAAGAAATGAAAGAAAGAAAAAAAAAGAGATAATGAAGAAAAGACAGACAGAGAGAGAGAGAGAGAGAGAGAATTAGAAGAAATACGATAGAGTGAGAAACAAGATGGAGACAGACATGTACTATTTATGAAATAATATACCAAATATCTAATGAGCTATAAATTCTAAGAGGCTTACGGCCATATCACGTAGACACATTGATTCCTGTACTATTATCGAAGTTAAGCAAAGTCGAACCTAGTCAGTATCTAGATGGGTGACCGCTTGGGATTACAGGTGTGAATGTGCAGGTGGTGTAATGAATAATGGCTCGGAATTGTTAATCGGAGAGTCGAGTTCCAATTCCCGTTGGGTTCGTTATATTCACTTACAGACAAATATCCTTTGGAAAGGCATGAATCCACATCTTCTCTCCCAGCTTAAGAAGACTTATATGACAAAACCATTATTAGTTCCTCCCCACACCACCCCAAATATCTTGCAATCTAAAAATATTTTCTAGTTTTAAATAACACGCAAAGATAGATAAACCGTAAAAAAAGGAATCGATCAATCAAATTCTCTTATGATCATAAAACAACCTCATTTGTTACGCTCTACCTTGAGTGGCTCCTAACCATACTTTTTTTTATTATTTCACCCCGAAGCAAAGTGAAAAGCATTATGACGCAAGGGGTACTGGTAGTGGAAAAGAATGAAAAGACTGTGTGAGAATTGCTCGGAAGGTCCTCGATAAAATTCAGAGACGGATATGCAATGTGATTGGCCCTGATCTGGCATCTCGTTTACAGTCGCTCTCTCACAGATGTCCCGTCGCTTCCCTCTGTCTTTTCTACAAATACTTTCACGATAACTGCTCCGACGAGCTATTTTCGCTGGTTCCCAAACGGCATGAATTTAAGCGTGCTACTAGGTTGGCATATCGGTCCCACCCTTTCACTGTCGAAACGGTTAAATATAGCCGTCTCTTCTACTCCAATATCTTCATGTCTTGCACTTCCTATCTGTGGAACTCCCTTCCTCTTACTTGCTTCCCTGAAAGCTATAATCTTCAATTATTCAAATGCAATGTTACAACATCGCATATTTGAAATATAAACAGATCCTGAAGAAGGTCGGCGCGTTCAACGGCCGAAACGCCGTAAATATATCAGTAAAGATGAGGTCAACAGTCCGAACAAGGTAAATGGCATAAATAGTTGCAACACCGCATATCTAAAATATAGACAAATCCTGAAGAAGGCCGGAGCGTACAACGGCCAAAACGTCGTGAATACGGCAACAAAGATGAGGACAACAGTCCGAACAAGGTAAATGGCGTAAATAGTTACAACATCGCATTTCTGTAATATACACAGATCCTGAAGAAGGCCGGAGCGTACAACGGTCGAAACGTTGTGAATATGGCAATAAAGATGAGGACAACAGTGTGAACAATGTAAATAGCGTAAATAGTTACAATATCGCATATCTCAAATATACACAGATCCTGAAGAAGTCCGGAGAGTACAACGGCCGAAACGTCGTGAATGTGACAGCAAAGATGAGGACAGAGTCCGAACAATGTAAATAGCGTAAATAGTTACAATACTTCATCTCATAAATATAGACAGATCCTGAAGAAGGCCGGAGCGTACAACGGCCGAAACGTCGTAAATATGGTAACAAAGATGAGGACAACAGTCTGAACAATGTAAATAGTTACAATATCGCATGTCTGAAATATAGACAGAAACTAAGGGACGGGCTGCTCCAGCTCGCATATAATAATAATGTAATAATATCTCATTTTTGTTCTAACCTGATAATGCATAACAGGGTGGGGTATCGGGTAATTTCTGGAGTGATACAAGGGATCTACCATAGGAGCACAAAAGAATGCATAAACATATACAGGGAAATACAGAGTGAGATATGAAGATAAGATTACTGTGAGTCAGATAAAGGTATACTAACAGATTTTGACCAAAAATAAAATGATGAAGACATAAACAGACGTCTGTCTATATTTCTGAGATGAGGTATTATGTACACTGTTTACATTATTTGGACTATAGTCCTCATCTTTATCGCCATATTCATCACAACGTTTCGGCCGTTGTACGTTCCGGCCTTCTTTAGGTGGTTGGAATGTCGAACTGAGCCCTTTATTTTGCTCACTGGGGTAGACTGTTCTAGTTCCACGTGCCATGTTTAATAGATGTCAGTTGTCAGTTATCTCCTGTTAATTCCCCTCTCAAAGTTCTCCACTACCTTAACAAGGTATTGAACTCACACTTTTTGGTTCCTGTCACTGGATCTAACCAACGCCTTTATCCACTGTACCATCTGTGTATGAATTTCTGGGTATTATAAACCTAATGTCTTCAGTAATCATTTTTACCAGTGCTCATATTGCAATTTTTTGCTGTTATCATTGCATTTTTTTTTACCAAAGCTCATACTGCAATTTTTGTTGTTATCGCTTTTCTCTGGAACCCCTTATTACTGGTTCCCATATTGTATTCATTTCTATGCTTGGTCGGCTCAGGAGATTTTGTGGCCTAGCATATGTGCTGATTCCTTAAGTTTACGAATTTTCCAATGGTGCTCTTTGTCTATGATCTCAACCTGATCCCACAGAGCGCGGGCAGTTTTCTCTCTATATGTAGTCAGCCACGCCTGATTTTTCCACTTCCCCTCGTGTTACTGCTTTCTGGTGTTCTTGAAGCCTTGCCTTAAGTGGGTGGCCTGTCTCCCCTTTATATTTCTTTCCACAGCTGCACGGGATAGTGTACACACAGTCTTTAGTCAAGTTCTCCTCTATGGAGAGTCTTACTCGGGAGAGATATCTGCGAAGTGTCGTCCAGCTTTTGAAGGTTGTCCTGGTGTTATATGGACCACCTGAAGAAGGCCGGCGCATACAACGTCCGAAACGTTGTAATAAATATGGCGACAAAGATGAGGACAATAGTCCGAATAATTTAAATAGTATAAACAGAGGTATCGAGTATTTTTTACGGATTATCAACTATTTCTGGGTTATTCAAAACCGAAATATATTTCGTATTGTAAAAGGTTTCTTACAGTAGCCGACTTTCCCAAGCAGTCTCCCGTCTAAGCACTGACCGGGCTCGACGCTGCTTAACTTCGGTAATCGAACAAGAACAAGTCTTTCCACCATGATTTGATCGTAGGCGGAACAGTCGGAAGTCGGCAAGGAAATAAATCTAACGTCGATGACTGGTTGCTCGATTTCGAGTATGTCCATCTTTTAAGGTGGTTAGCCATTCCCTGTCGCAGACGCCTGCTCAAGCACATTTATGTTTTTGTTAAGCACCCATAGGGTCAACCTGTGGCTTATACTGGAACCATGCTCGACGGACCTCAGATTTTAGAAAAGGGCGGATCATCTGGTGACATCAGTAGTTGAACAAAGCCATTGCGTTCAAACCTTTGGTTTTGTGACTTTGTGCTTGCTCAGTCATCCACAGCTTCTGAACTGTTTCGTTTACCTAATGTTAAGCTCAAATATTGGATCAATGATGTGTTTTGCAGGCATTTCCCGACGGCGTCGCACGCTGGGATCACTTCAATAGACCGATAATATCAAGAACTCTCCTGGCATCACGAATCAAAATCGTCGCATATTGTTTGTCAGTCCTTATAAACAATTTCTTAGCTCCTGTGATGGTGACATCTCTTATGATCATAAAACTGCCTCATTTGTTACGCTCTACCTTGAGTGGCTCATAACCATTTAAAAAAAATAATTTCACCCCGAAGCAAAGCGAAAAACACTATGACGCAAGGGGTATTGGTTGTAGAAGAGAATGATAAGACTGTGTGAGAAATGGTCGGAAGGTCCTCGACAAAATCCAGAGACGGATATGCAATGTGATTGGTCCTGATCTAGCATCTCCCGGCGGCGTCGCACGCTGGGATTACCCCACCAGACCGATAATATCAAGAACTCTCCTTCCTGACAAGTCGACCACTGTGAGATTGGAAACTGTTTCTCATTGTCGGAACTTGTAGATCTATCTGTTTAATGTCTATTTACGTATCAGATGTAACCGGAAGATAACAATATACATCTACAAGTTTGTAGCTGAATTCAAAACTACAAATCGGCTGATAGAAATTTATTGCAAGGAATAAGTAAAATAAATCGACTTTTTTTGTTGTTGCAATGATAGCTTTTAATGCTCTACGCATGAGTATAAGACGTTACAACGGCATTTTTTGTACCGTCGTCTTCCTGTGTAAATCTTTAGTGATTTTTTTGCTTCGGTCGGAGGTTTATGACTGGATGGGCTTTTGTTGTAATTTCTGGCATCACGAATCAAAATCGTCGCATATTGTTTGTCAGTCCTCATAAACAATTTCTTAGCTCCTGTGATGGTGACATCGGATCGTAGCCAAGTTGACGGAATGAAATAAAACGAATATCCACATGCTATTTAGATAATTTTCTTTTTCGATTCGTCTTTCCGGCAAGCATATTGAATTACACAGGATAAAAAATAACTATTACTCAAGTTAATAATAAAGAAAGGAAGCGCTAACACAGTCCGTAGGTAAATTTTACAGTATAATACAGTTTTATTTTTATGGTGAAAACGATCTTGATGCTATAAGATAAAATAAGTTTACTATACCCAAACAAACAAAAAAAAAACCCCAAAACAACAAACAAACAAAAAAACAACAAACAAACAAAAAAACAACAAACAAACAAACAACGGATGCCTATGGCTCAACAGTTGATCAAAGGCGAATTATTTTAAGCTTCTGTTCGAGATAAACTATTCTTAAAACGAGAAAACAAATTTAAAGGAAATGTAAGTTTTATAGCTTCCCTGGTTGCTGAGGTACCTGAATTTTTATCACTAACTCCGTCCGCCATTCTTTATTTTTATTCTTCGATGTGCAGTGTCACTTCCGGAAATGGGCGATCACGACTCTCCGCCACTTCATATATATTTGAAGTTGTTTTTGTCCGTATGAAGAAATTATAATATATATATATATATATATATATATATATATATATATATATATATGTAAACATAAAAAATGTCTTAAAATATTTGTCGGACTTTGTCAATTTTCATAATGTATGACGTCATTTGTTTACATTTGGATACGCATCAATCAGATATGAATGTACGAGAGAAAATCATGGAGAATTGTAGTTTAAAAACAGTAAAATCAAGCTGGTTAACCGGAACGCTCCTCTATGGCTCAATCGGTTAAAGCACGTCAGGCTATATGACGGTTCCGTATAGGACACAGGTTCGATTCCTATCGGAGGACGCATATTTTCTATGAAAATTTCTCGGACATTCAGGCCCGTAAATGTCTTTAATACTGTTCGTTATAAACAGAGCATTTACTTAAATATTTGTATATATATATTATAATTTTTACAAACGGACTAACACAACTTACTCATTACAAAGATGCATTCGCCTATCGTTTGTTCACACACCTTACAGGTCTTTTGAACAAGAGAAAAGGTTCCAATGTTTCCTGTTTAGGATTGGGTATCCGGTTTCTTCTTAAGTCTTCTCCGTCTCTTTCACTTCCAGTAGCCCCCTTGCGTCTTAGTAGAATTATGCCCCTACTCGAGGTGAATTAAGTAATATATATATATATATATATATATATATATACTTAATATTTCCAGATCAAGGAGGTGAAATTTGCAAGACAAACACCGGCACACATTTAAATATGCAAATTGGTGTAAATATGAAAATTGGTGTAAATATGAAAATTAGTGTAAATATGCAAATTAGTGAAAGTATACAAAATCATTTTGTTGGGGTTGATTGATTGAAAGTAACGTGTCTCCAAATTTACCCGGTATTCGAAACGAAGTGAGGATGTTGCTAGTTTTAGGTAAATGAATGGTGGAGCAAGATTTAGGAGAAATCACAAAAAGAATATTTATTAATAGCTACAAAGAGAGCTATGATCACTCGTCTTGAAGGGACTCGGCATAGAAGATGAATTGCATATCGGCTTAAGGAGTGCAGAGATATGAAGTATTACTTCAGTAGCCAATACACAATTACACTCTGATTTTTTCACACTTTTCTCATTCCATATGTTAAAGATAAATTTGGTAACTACTAATTACAAGCCTACTCTGATATTTTAAATCATAGCTAATGGAGATAAGAGACACATCCATACCTTTCCGTCGAGGTCCTTCCTCTCAACAATATCCGTTGCACTACCTGCCCATACATAGCACTAAGGTAAGCACACACAACATTACTTGTACATATTTGTACTTCAGTATCTGTCTATATTTCTGAGATGAGGTATTATGTACACTATTTACATTATTCGGACTATTGTCCTCATCTTTGTCGCCATATTTATCCGATCCTTTAGTATCTGTCTATATTTCTGAGATGAAGTATTATGTACACTATTTACATTATTCGGACTATTGACCTCATCTTTGTTGCCATATTTATCCGATCCTTCACTATCTGTCTATATTTCTGAGATGAGGTATTAGGTACACTATTTACATTATTCGGAGTATTGTCCTCATCTTTGTCGAAATATTTATCCGATCCTTCAGTATCTGTCTATATTTCGGAGATGAGGTATTATGTACACTATTTACATTATTCGGACTATTGTCCTCATCTTTGTCGCCATATTTATCCGATCCTTCAGTATCTGTCTATATTTCTGAGATGAGGTATTATGTACACTATTTACATTATTCGGACTATTGTCCTCATCTTTGTCGCTATATTTATCCGACGCTTCAGTATCTGTCTATATTTCTGAGAAAGGTATTATGTATACTATTTACATTATTCGGACTATTGTCCTCATCTTTGTCGCTATATTTATCCGATCCTTCAGTATCTGTCTCTATTTCTGAGATGAGGTATTAGGTACACTATTTACATTATTTGGACTATTGTCCTCATCTTTGCTGCCATGTATATTACAACGTTTCGGCCGTTGTACACTCCGGCCTTCTTCAGGGTTTTGGAATGTCGAACGGAACCCTTTATTTCATGTCCTCAAGGACACATGGCACAGTGGATAAAGGCGTTAGTTAGATCCAGTGACGCGATCCAACGAGTGTGAGTTCAATACCCGGTTAAGGCAGTGGAGAACTTTCAGAGGGGAATTAACAGGAGATAGCTGACATCCATTAAACATGGAACTAGAACAGTCTACCCCGGTGAGCGAAATAAAGGGTTCAGTTCGACATTCCAAAGCCGGAGTGTACAACAGCCGAAACGTTGTAATAAATATGGCCACAAAGATGGGGACAAAGTCTGAATAATATAAATAGTGTTATTTGTACTTGGGGCATTTACCTAGGATCGGTGTAAGCGGTTCAGACAAACGGATTCGCTATATCTCGAAAGAGAGCCGACCATGCTGGGCGGTCAGATGCAATTGAGTCTGTAAGAGCTAATCACTTCCGGTTCCAACTCAGGCGGAGAATTCGTCGTAGGCAGGAGGGATCGAACACCTCGAGCTTGTGAAGGTCTCAGCTCTCACTGACCACGTCTCACAGCCGTAGGAAAGTATCGACTAGAGTCTGGTAGATCCGAACTTTCGTGTTAATTTAGATCTCAGATCTACACCACAGCCGAGTCGTAAGCCGACAGAACGCAATAACAGAAGCATCAATGCAGACATCGGTATCCCCCTTCCATAGCCAGTAGTGGTTATATATATATATATATATATATATATATATATATATATATATATATATATATATATATATCAGGTCATCCCATAAGTTCTGTCCGAATTTTGAATAAAGAAAACAAGTGATCAAATGTTACATTTAATTACAGATTCAATCAACAATGTATTTTCCCTGATTATTTATGACTTCCTTCCATCTATTAACAAGCATACTAATTCCATTACTGTAAAATACTTTTGGCTTTGATTCGAAGAACTGACAAATGCCAGTTTTAACTTCTTCCTGTGTTACAAAAGCTGTTTCTTCCAAATGATTCTGTAAGCTACGAAACAAATGGTAGTCTGAAGGAGCAAGATCCGGAGAATAAGGTGGATGAGGAATTTTCTCCCAACCAATCTTTTGTGATGTGATTCTTGCTGTGTGGGGTCACGCATTGTCCTGATGAAACATTACCTCTTTTCGATTCACTAGAGCAGGTCTTTTTTTCCTCAAAGCTTGGTTCAAATGCTCTAATTGCTGACAGTATATTTGAGCATTAACTGTTGCATTAGGTGGTAAGAATTCAAAGTGGATTATTCCTTGGCAATCCCACCAGATTGAAAGAAGAATTTTTGCCCATGAAGTTCCCTTCTCGGCTGTGGCTGGGCTCCTTCCCCTTTACCAAGCCACTGTCTACGGCACTTAACATTTCGATAAAAGATCCATTTTTCGTCGCCAGTCACAAGTCTATCCAAAAAAGGTGAAACAAGTTGGCGAGAATGGAGAGAAGAGCAGATGTCAACTTGGGATTTGAGGTTGTTTTCAGACAATTCATGAGGCACCCATTTTCCAAGTTTCGGAACTTTTCCAAGTTGTTGAAGATGACGATGAACAGTTGTATGGTTTGAACTGAGAACCACTGCCAATTCCTCAACTGATAAAGCAGGAATTTTTTCAAGGGCTGCTTCAAGAAGCCTTTGATCAAACTCAACTGGACGTCCGGGTCGATCTTCATCTTCAAGGGTGAAATCTCCACCTCTGAATTTTGCAAACCATCTTCTGCAAGTTCTTTCATTCACATTCCTCTCCATAAACTGAGTGATCATTTTTCTAGCCGCTTCGGCTGCTGAGTTTCCTTTCTTGAACTCATAAAGCATTATGTGCCCTCAAATGATTCTTGGATACTTCCATGTTATCAGGGTTTTAATCAAACAAAATTTAATTTTATTGTTCTCTGAAATAAAATTTGATCAGTTTAAATGCATCTAAATATAAAAATAATGTTCAGATCCATTAGACATTATAAAATACTCTTTAAATTTCGTTGATTTTTAACAAAAGTTAAAATTCGGACAGAACTTACGGGATGACCTATATATATATATATATATATATATATATATATATATATATATATATATATATATATATATATATACTAGCAAAATTAAAAGCACGTTGCTGTGTGTCACATGATTTTTGTAATAAAATGATGATTGATTTTAAATCATTGTTATAATTTTTGGAGAAAAATGATGCAATTCAACATTACTCAATGATCTTGCCGATGTGACCTCCATCTTCTGGCTTTCTCCTTCTATATTTTGGATAGGAGTCATTCCCTTATTTAAATTTAAATTTAATTTAAATCAAAGGGAAACAATCAGCTAGGGGGTTCGTGCAAAAACAGCTTGATCTGACTCCTTTGATATGTATTTGATGCAATACTTCACTGAATGAATTGATGATCAGATTTCAACATTGATGTGACAGTTGAATTGTCACAACAAATATGTATTGTAAGGCACTACCCACTGATTGGTGATTTCTTGCTCAACTTGATGTCCATATTATCTCATTTTGATCTTGCCGATTTGACCTCCATCTTCTGGCTTTCTCCTTCTATATTTTGGATAGGCATCATTCCCTTGTTCAAATTGAAATTTAATTTAAATGAAAGGGGAAAAATAAATCAATGGGGGTTGTGAACCGAGAACCACTAGTTATGGTTAGGTGTCGGGGGGGTTCTATCTCCAAAACCCTAGGAGGAGTTAGATAACAAATACGTAGACAGAAGTTTTTGTTTATTAACGTTATTAAACACACACACACACACACACACACACACACACACACACACACACACACACACACACAATTACATTTTTGTTCAATTATATATTCAGCATTCGATACCATTTTAGTAAAATTACGCAGGTTTTGATGTGAAAATGTTTATAACGCACATATATATGATATATATATATATATATATATATATATATATATATATATATATATATATGTATAAAAAGTGAACACTGAGGTCAACATTGAGCTTCATGCTTGAACACAATGATCATTCAAGCATGAAACAGACTGTCGCCACTGGGTATTGACCAAAATGTACACTTATATTTTTATACTTACATACGCTCTATCCATGATACTGAGCACGTTTACCTATAAATATAGCCTACCAGAAAACTATATTTTTATCATATATATACATATATATATACATATATATATATATATATATATATATATATTACACGTATTGTTATTCTCTTTTTAATCTATGGATGTGCTTGTTTGTCGTGTCTTGCCTATGTAGATATTTTGTTTGAGACAATTCAATTACTCTTTTCAATAAAGCTAAAGCCGATATCAGCCGAGAGACTTAGTCGCCATATTTTTTCATTTGATCGTGGAAATGAAAGCCGTCTGTCTCCAGTTGCGAGGAAGAAAGGAAAACAACACTAGATAAAGTAAAATGTATTTTTCCGAAGGAGGCAGCCTCTGTGACCCACCCCAACACCACCTTACTATGAAAACAACAAGTTGCATGTTTAATAATAATAATAATAATAATAATAGTAAAAGGAAAAGTCCAGAACAACGTGAAGCAGGTAGAGGATGTGGTCGAGGCTGAAGGTACAGTTGCAGTTGCAATATTACAAAAAACTTTGAAAAGTCAGCAAAAGAAAATTCTTATCTGTGACACTACAAAAACACATGAGTGAAGTGATTTGGATTTGGGGGGGGGGATTTTTTTGAAATCGTTTTTTTCTCTCCTGGCAATAGTATAGAATGATTAATTTCAAACAATAGAAACATCCAGAACTCAAAGTATAAGCGAAAAAAAAAAATGCCAAAAAGAAAACTATTTGTGATTGCTATCAATTTATTTTGACATGGTAATATTTCATAAACTGAGATGTTGGAGGATTATATTAAAAAAAATGCTGACGGGAGGGGAAAAAAAGCAGCAAGAAGAAAAATAAATAAATGAGAAAAGGTATAAAAGAAAGAGAAAAAGTGGCAGACAAAGGGAGGAAGATTGGCTTGAAGAGTTGAAAAAGAAAAAAAAAAAAAAAAAAATAGGTAAGTATAAAAAATGAAACGGACCGAGAAAAAAAGACTCCGTTTCCAGAAATCGTAGATAGAATTTTTCGGGGCTGTAGCTCAGCTTTCTTTCTTTCATTTACCTCCACTTTCTTTCTTTCGGTCTTATTTCCTCTTTTCTTTCTTTCTTTCTTTCTTTCTTTCTTTCTTTCTTTCTTTCTTTCTTTTTATTATTTATACTATTTATCATCTTATTTTGCAATAATCTTGTTCTTTTCGTTTTTTTTTTTTTAGAATTTTTAGAATTTGTTCTTTTTTCTCTTCTCTTCCCGTTTTTCAACGTTTCATTTTATAAGAAATTTTCCTTTCTTTCTGTATTTCTTTCTTTCTTTCTTTCTTTCTTTCTTTCTTTCTTTCTTTCTTTCTTTCTGTATTTCTTTCTTTCTTTCTTTCTTTCTTTCTTTTCTTTCTTTCTTTCTTTTCTTTCTTTCTTTCTTTCTTTCTATCTATCTTTCTTTCTTTCTTTTTATTATTTATACTATTTATCATCTTATTTTGCAATAATCTTGTTCTTTTCGTTTTTTTTTGTTTTTTTTTTAGAATTTTTAGAATTTGTTTTTTTTTCTCTTCTCGTCCCGTTTTTCAACGTTTCATTTTATAAGAAATTTTTCTTTCTTTCTTTCTTTCTTTCTTTCTTTCTTTTCTTTCTTTCTTTCTTTCTTTCTTTCTGTATTTATGTATTTCTATATGTCTATCCTATTATTTTCTGTCTCTCTTTGTTTCTTTTGCATTTCCGTTCTTTCATTTTTTACTACTCCTTATTTTGCTGAATTTTCACCTATTCTTTCTTTTTTTTTCTTTTTTCTTTCTTTTTTCTTTCTTTTCTTTGTTTCTTTTTTTTGTTTCTTTCTTTCTTTCTTTTAGTGTCAGTTTCCTACCTATCTAAAAACTTATTTACCTTTTCCTCTTTTTTTCTTTTTCTTTCCTTTTTCGCGTATTTGATTGCGACTTATTTTTGCAATGTATATCACATTATTTTGCTATTTTTCCATATATTTTTCATTCCTTTCTTTCCTCTTATCTCTTTGTATTTTTCTCTCTTTCTTCTTTAGTTCCCTGTTATATTTTGTTCATTGTTGCTCTTATTTTTCTGTTTTTATTTTTTTTCATATTATTTTGATTTTCTCTGTCATAATTTCTTTCTTTCGTTCATTCTTTCTATTTATTATGAGTAATCATTCTTTCTATTTATTATGAGTAATCTTTTTCCTCTGTCGACCTTTTGCAAACAATCTTGTTCTGTTGTTTTCTTTCTCAATTTTTGTCAAATTCGGCTTTTTTCTCTTCTCGACCTGTTTTCAACGTTTCCTTTTATGAGTACTTTCTTTCTTTCTTTCTTTCTTTCTTTCTTTCTTTCTTCCTTTCTTTCTTTCTTTCTACTCAGTATTTTCCTTTCTCTCTTTATTTCTCCCCCATGACTTTCTTTTTTCCTCCTACTTTTCTCTCTTTCTTTTTTTACTGATATATTTCTTTCTTTTCTATTGTCATTCTTTCTTTATTTTTCTCTCGTGATCTTTCTTCTTTCTTTCTTTCTTTCTTTCCTTCTTTCTTTCTTTCTTTCCTTCTTTCTTTCTTTCTTTCTACTCAGTATTTTCCTTTCTCTCTTTATTTCTCCCCATGACTTTTTTTTTTTCCTCCTACTTTTCTCTTTCTTTTTTTTACTGATATATTTCTTTCATTTCTATTGTCATCCTTTTTTTTATTTTTCTCTCGTGATCTTTCTTTCTTTCTTTCTTTCTTTCTTTCTTTCTTTTACTGCCAGTTTCTTAGTTACCTCTCTGAAACACTTATTTTCCTCTTTGTTTTTTCTTTTTCTTTGTTTCCTTCTTTGTTTATTTGATTGCGATTTATTTTCACAATGTATGTCATATTATTTGGCTATTTTCAATTATTTCACTTTCTTCAAATTTATAGTTTTATAAGAATGTAAGTGACATCGACCCAGTTAAAACTAAAATAAAAATATATCTCTGAGATGAGGTATTATGATTATTTACATTATTTACATTATTCGGACTGTTATCCTCATCTTCATTGCCATATTCACAACGTCTCCGCCTCTATATTTCTGAGATGAGGTATTATGATTACTTACATTATTTACATTATTCGGACTGTTATCCTCATCTTCATTGCCATATTCACAACGTCTCCGCCTCTATATCTCTGAGATGAGGTATTATGATTACTACATTATTTACATTATTCGGACTGTTATCCTCATCTTCATTGCCATATTCACAACGTCTCCGCCTCTATATCTCTGAGATGAGGTATTATGATTATTTACATTATTTACATTATTCGGACTTATCCTTATCTTCATAGCCATATTCACAACGTTTTGACCGTTGTACGCTCGGCCCTTCTTTGGGTGATTGGAATTTCGAACCAAACCTTTTAATTCGTCCACCAACATGTCCCAGTGGATAATTGGTTAGATCCAGTCACTAAATTCAAAGAGTTGTGAGTTCAATCCCAGAACACAGGATTGGTGAACCAAAAAACTTGGAGAGTTGAGTTAAAGGGAAATAGCTGAGACATCCGGAAGAGGCATGGCACGTGGAACTAGAAATAAAGGGTTCGGTTCGAAATTCCAATGACCTGTAGAAAGCAGGAGGTACAACGGGCGAAACGTTGTGAATATGGCAATGAAGACGAGGATAACACTCTGAATAATGCAAAAAAAATATTTTTTCTTCAAATTTATATTTATTCTTTCTTTAAATTTAACTTTTCTTTCTTTCTTAACTTATTTATTTATTCAAATTTATACTTTTATAAGAATATAATTGACATCGATCCAGTTTAAACTTGAGTCAAATAGGAGACATTGATCTTTCTTTCTTTCTTTATTTCTTTTTTTCAAATATTTTATATTTGTTTTTTAGTCGTTTTTTTCTTATATTTTCTTTCCGTCTATCTTTCTTTTGCAACCTTACTTTGTTTTTTTTGTTTTTTTTCATTTCTTTCTTGGTGACATTTTTTTAATGCGATCTCTCCCTATTTCTTTTAAACTTTTTTTTTTATTTTGCAGGTGGAAACACATTCTAGGAATAAAAAAGCCTCACTTTCATTTCCTCTGTTCGTCCATTCTCGATCGCCATCTTTCTTTTTTTTTTTTTAACAAAATACCGTTTCTGTGTTTTTTTTGTTCTTTTTTGCTATTGATTTTCGTCTCATTTCTCTTCATCACAATTTCCATTTTTCCTCTTTATCTTCATCTCACACGACCGTGGCATATTTTAATTTCATATTTTCTCAGTTCCCGTTCATTTCATTGCACAACGCGAACAAGAACAGAAGTTACTCACAATAGAAAGAAGAGAGTGTCATAATGGAAGGAGAAAAGGAAGGAGAGAAAACACACAAAGATACAAAATGAAAACCTTGATAGAATTACATCACGTTTACGGACACAGACACAAACACAAACGCGCAAAGACGCCCACACGTACACACATACACAGAGACATACACATATATATATATATATATATATATATATATATATATATATATATATAGAGAGAGAGAGAGAGAGAGAGAGTGATTTATTAAGCGCTTCGAAGATGTGACTCAAGGATGATATTAAGTGAGGATCGAACACACCACTCAGATGTAACTCAATGAACGCGACAAGCTTGCTATATATATATATATATATATATATATATATATATATATATATATATATATATATATATATATATATTATAATAATGAAAATGAACACTTCAAACACATGCCATCGTGATATTTATTATTTATTTCATTAGAATCAAAGATTCGGTCTCAACTCTTCAGACCGACTCTTACACACAAATATAAATGAACAAGGATTTTACCAGTCTTTAAAAAACTCAATTAGAACATAAATTATATTAAATATGCAGATTTGAATTTAAATCTACGCCTTTAACATAATTTATATTCTGATTGAGTCTTTTAAACTCAGGTAAAATCCATATATATATATATATATATATATATATATATATATATATATATATATATAGTCATCCACAGAGAGACTGTTTCACTGTATCACAGCTCATCAGTGTGGCTAGACGTTCAGTTGCCTCTTGCTAGGATCGAAACCCGACTAAATTGACGTCAGAGAGCTCAACCGAAATAAATTTTTCAGGAGCATATTACGAAATGGACTAAGTCCGACAACTATTTTAATATATTTTCTGTTTATACGTTTTTTTTGTATAGATAGAAATATTTAAGTAAATGCTCTGTTTATAATAAATAGTATTAACGACATTTACCGGCCTGAATGTCCGAGAAATTTACATCGAAAAAAATGCGTCTTCCGACAAAAATAGAACCTGCCTCCTACACGAAATCGTCATATAGTTTATTTAATAATATATGACGTCCTTTGTTTACGTTAAGATACGCTTCGAG